AGTCGTTACTTAATGGAAAGCCATCATTAGTTCCATCTGAAGTAATCAGCGGAACATGTCACAAAATATGTTTAAAAATATAATATTGTTACGAAATTGCCTCAGAAGCCCAGCTAGAATCTGAGAAACGCAATTCGAAAAATTCTATTCAAGTATGGCACCAAGTTTTTTTAAACTAATCTCAAGTACACTGTCTACTATAAGTAGCGCGAAGTAGTAGGTTGAGTAAGGCTTAAGTCGATATTCTGGAAAGGCAAAACAATAAATTCGCGACTGCAATGGAAGTAGTACCTCCGTGAAGAAGTTGAAGGTGTTTATCAGAAAGTAGTGATTCCCGCCAACGAGACGCGACTTTCATAAAGTCTTGTCTCGTCTCGCCGATGAAATAGGAAGTCTTGTCTCGCAGCCTCAAGTCTCGTCTCGCAAATGTACCGAAATCTCGTCATGCATAATTTTGTTCCAGTTGTGAGTCTAGTATGGGAATCTCACCTAGGTACTTGCTATAATGTAATCCCCTGTGTACTTAACTATATTTTGGTGTTACATGCTGCGAATTGATGGGGGGGTTTGGAAATTTGAGGGTATTTTTATTTATTTTCGGAAAGTTGTAAGATGGGTCATGATTCCCAACAGTGCTCTGAGGAAAGGGGTAGGCAATGAACTATAGTCTAACAGTGAAATCCATTAGTAAGTTCGGTGCGCACTGAGTGTGTTCGTGTACTTTTCTATTAACATGTAAAAGAATGAGATGGAAAATAGAAATGCATGTTTTTTTCGAACTAATTTTGACATTGAGGTAGAATAATAAAGAGGCGAAATGACGAGACAAATGTGTACCTACTTTGGCCATATTGTGGTTAGACTTCTGTCTGAAAGTCTGTCACGTTTGTCAGTAATGAGTAATTCATCAAGGCTGCATTTTCCATTCGAAGATGTTTCGAATGCGAAACATTTTTGAAGCGCATAATTTTAATTCTGGGTCTTGAAAGGATCTCCTGTTTCAGTATGTTGATGTTTCTGTAGCAACTTTTTCTTTCGTAGTGTAATGTAGATTTCTCACGTTTCTAGATAAAAATTATTAAGAATACATTTATGGTTTACTGACCGGTCTAATACAGAAACTGGAACCGGCGTTGGAATATATAGACAAACTCCCAGAAGCGACATCAGTCAACCTCTGGGAAAAAACACTACTGTATTCCAAGCAGAAATATATGCCATCGACTCCTGTCTGAGAGAAAACCTAAGGAGGAGACACACAAAACATCCTTATCCGCTCAGACAGTCAAGCGTCAATCGAAACACTTGTGAGACCCCAAATTCAGAAACTTGGCAAGATGTTAAATTGGCAAGCGGTGACTTTAGTTTCTGAGTGAAGACACAGTTTAAAATGGGTCCTATTTGCGGGTGGAGAGTAAAACACAGAAATATTGTGGTCAATTAAAATTAAAGTTTATTTTATTAAAATAAATAATGCTTGTTATTAACTAACAGGCGTCGGTAATAAATAATCTCACAATAAAATTGGTAGATTTCTAATAAGCATCAATTACCTGTTAAGGAATTAATATGATTTCAAGTAAAAATTTTTATTTACAGTTTGACTCGATTCACACTCTTGCCTTCATAATTTCTGGCTGAACATAAAAAAAAACTCTACTTACATTTAACAATAATATATTTACTGCTAGCCACACCTAATTACATGGAAATCTTATTGGTCGAAGGAATTTACTTTAATTATGAACACTTGATAAAAAAAAAACTCGAATATGTTCGCGCTGTTAATTCACGTCGTGCTTCTTCTCTGGGTTAATTCGACAACTCTTTCACGCCGTAGTTCTGACTTTCTGGACACAGGTCTCTCGATTCTCGATCACTACTTGTTTCTTGACTACTCAACAGATACTGGGCCTTCACGCCGTAGTTCTGCCGGTTTACTCGCTCTTTCTCGAACACTCGTTTTCTCGAATACTGGTTTTCTTCTGCGAAAGTTGCCTTTTTATATCATTAATCCCTCCATTGTCTTGAATTTCTTTATTGTTTCTGACCTCGATTTTTCGTAGTTGAATCATCCGATCAATTAGTGTATTTAGTCCCCTTTTAATTAATTGTCAAGGGCGTCGCTAAGTGGTTTGTTAAGTGGGTATCATCGTATAGGCTCGTGCATGATTTATTGATCCTTTTAGAAAAATTTTCGGCTCCTTTGGAATGTTAATTGTTGAAAGCACAAAAAAAAAGGTCCATAAACTTGCTTTATTCACATTCCAATGTATTATTAGTCAATATAGAGTATCGGCTTTCAATAATTTCTGGACATCGATGTTCAGATAATTTTTATTTGAAGTTTCTGGTTGTGTTGTCTAAAGGGCCCCACAGACTGCGTTTTTGTTGGACGGTTTTGTCCGACGAGCAAATCTGGTCGAGCAAAAACGACGCAAAACCGAAGTGTATGTGCGAAAAATTGTCGTTTTTGCTGGCATACAAAACCGATGCAAATATCTGGCTTCGCCTGATTTTGTCCGTCGGACATGTTCGATATGTCAACAAATCTATAGTGTGTAGGATACGAATTTTAAAAACGACGGTTTTGTGTGGTGTGCATTGCGTAGCTACAGAATTTCATATTATTAACTTATTAAAAATAAAAACTTTTCACCATGAATGATCTTCGCCAAACTAAACCGAGGTCTGTAAACAACTTCGATCCATCGTTTTTGCTCGACCAGATTTGCTCGTCGAACAAAACCATCAAACAAAAACGCAGTCTGTGGGGCCTTTAGGTGATGATCTCTCCTGAGATGGTTGTAGCTGCGTGTCTCTTGCTAACTTACTAACTCTTTTTGCACTATGTTCGACATCGGAAACTTCCTGCTAGTCATAGTTTTCAAAAAAATGAGGCGAAAAGAGCTAAAAGGAGTCAGCAAGCCAAATGCAGTTGAACATTAAAAATTATTTAAAAATAATAAAAATATATGAAAAAAATCAATTCGCCTTTTTGTCAAGAATGCTCGATTAGTTGGGTTTTCAGTCAACGATGGCGCTGTAATTCATAACCGGTACATAACATTGCAGATACTTTCCCTGCGTTTTTATTCTCATTAAATTTTACCGATGGATCCACCATTCTATGTCGGTCATTGTCATTTTCCATTGACTAAACAAAGATAGCTAACTCATCGGTGAATCCACCGATGAGAATAAAAACGCATATTTTTCTAGAGGTGATATGTTCTGTTACATTGACAATCAAAAATTAACTGTCAAAAACACCGGTTTATTATTGAAAATCGAAAAAATCTAAAATCTCTCCCAATGTTTTCAGATTGATTAGTACGAATTTCTCTATAAACGAACTTACTCGACGATTCCAGGAAAAAGTCATAGAGAGTAGCATTTGTCGATAGAAAGAAATTTCTTTTCTTTGCTATTATTTTTCTAGGGCATAAAGGTATTGAAGGAAATGAAAAAACAGATGCTCTGGCAAGAAAAGGATCAGCAAACAGTTATACTGGTCCTGAACCGGCAATTAGCATCACAAAATTTTCGGTAAGAACACAAATAAACCAATGGGAGTATGGACAACACCAAACTTACTTTCCAACTCTTCCGAAGACCCAGTAAGCAACAATCATCACCCACACTTACTGAAGAGATCCTATAACTAAACAGGAATCAAATCAGGCTAATACCTTGACTTATAACTGGACACTGTAGCCTGAGAAAACACCTACACACAATGGGATTTCTCCAAGAAGAACCCATATGCAGACTTTGTGACCAGGAGGATGAAACCGCCAACCACATAATCTTGGAATGTGAGGCTTTACGCTGGTGGAGATACAGACAGATAGAGGGCCAGAAGACTCTATCTCTAAACTCACCAAAAGCAACATGGTGAAGAGGCTCCTAAACATAATAAAGGTCACGAAACTTTTCACTCACCAAACAGACGGACAGGACAATGCAATAAGCCGACAGCTGCAGCGTTGAAGCCACCTAACCCGGCCTGTTCACTCTGAATCTCAACTAACCAACCAACCATCAGGACACTCATACATTACATACACTACTTTTTTGCTATTTAAAATATAAATTTAACGATTTCCAGTCAAGTTGGTTTGCAGTCCGGTGTGTTGAGCTCAATCTCAATTGGAATGTGACGGAAATACTCAAGTTATCATTAAGAACATCAGTGATATTTCAAGCGGATTGAGATATTTCAAAATATTCCAAAATGTGTGATTTTTTTGAAAATTGAGGTTGTTGATCTCTTAACAAAAGAAAAACGGTTTAGTTAAATATGCCGAAATTGTATGCAGACATGAGCATGATCTTATCCTTTAAGAATAATAAGATGATTTTTATAAAGTTCTGGTTTTAATTCAAATCAAATTCATGTCAAATCATACTAAACAATGATAGACATAATTATAATTGCAAACAACTGATATTGTTAGATCATTGTTTGATAAGCTTTATCATGCATTGATGACTTTCCCAAAGTACTTACCTACATATAGATTTTCAGTGGCGTACTCAATTTGACACTTGCGATTCAAATGAATACTCCTTCAGAATCAGGATTCAATTATTCACATTTTAGATGCATTATACTTCAATCTCTTTGCCAATAATCCATGCAATATGCGTATAAGTGCTATCAATTGAGAACCTATTACGAAATCCCAGTAGATACCTAATTTTTAAAAAAATCTTAAATATATAGCAAAGATCGGTTCATGTTATTTGTTAGTAGCTTGAAATAATAATACAATTATTACACAATGTCTGGCTCAATAATTATAATCAGCCAGCTACTTTTATATGCGTCGTTTTTCATATTGTTTGCAATTTCGTGTATTTACCTATACTTTCGTTATAAATACACATAATATTGGACTAGAAAAGGTGTATCGCATTTGGAACCAAAATTTCCTCTAGGTGAGTACTGAATAAAACTAACCTAAAATAAGTCCTATAGCATTATTAATTTCAAGGCAACAATGACTGTTTTGGTACTGAAGCATTTTCCTACGGCATCGAAACCGTCGAGTGGTACAAGGAATTCAAAAAACGCGGGCTGAAATGTGGAGGCGCCTGGAGTTGGTGCAATCCAGTTTTGATTGTAACCGTTCCCGGTTACATCAAGGAAATTCTGCTAAAGAGTTTTTCTAGTTTCACCACGAGAGATTTTTATCATAATCCGAAATACGACCCTAAAAACGAAAACCTTTTCGTCGTGGATAAGGAAGTATGGAAAAATCTGAGGCAAAAACTGACACCTGTTTACACGACAGCTAAAATGAAGCTGATGTTTTTGGCTGTGGTTAAATGTACCGAACCTATGATGGATATTTTTGCCAAGAATGCTGAAACTGAAAAAGACATGGATATGAGAGAGGTACCTGAATAATTGATTATTGTGGTTTCTAATACAATTTCGGATTGGATTTTGGTAGTTTCTCGAGCGAAGAAGGCCAATTTCGTAAAATGGACAAAGAAATCTTCCGTTCAACACCAAAGAGAAAACTCTTTCTCATGCTCAGCAGGATCTGTGAGCCGCTAGCTCGCAGTTTAGGTATCAATAATATTCCAATAATATTCCAGAACCCGTAACCGAATTCTTTACGGAAACCCTAACAGAAACTGTCAAGTTCAGACAGGAAAACAATTTCAAAAAACCGATTTCTTGCAGCTGCTCATCAACCTATATGAAACGACAAAAGACGAAGAAAAACCTTTTACTTTTGACGATCTTATTGGCAACGTGATTTTGTTTTTCACAGCCGGATTTGACACGTCTTCGACTGCAATGAACTTTGCATTGTACGAACTTGCCTTGAATCCCAAATTACAAGACAGAACCAGGGAAGATATACGAAGGGTACTGGATGAGCACAAAGGAGCGCTTACCTATGAATCGTTGAAGGAAATGACTTATTTGGGACAAGTGATAGATGGTGAGTGATGATTACTTCCTATCCTCTATTATTTTTTCACAACTAGCTTGCCCAATGGTTTCTCCTTCTGCAATCTGTTCAATTATTGTATATTATAACTTTCTCGTCATCGATTATTGAAAAACTGATATTATTCTTTTTTTTTAAGAAGTTGCTAGTTTTCTAAATGAAAAAATGTAGGCTGATTTGTACTCTCAGCCCCTTGCAGACCTCGATATCATCAATGATAATTTTGAACTTCTTTGAAACTTACTGAATTCAAGGTAGTCCACATATTATTATGATGCTCAAGCAGGGCCATTGTAGCATTGTGTTGTCATTTGAATAATTTATTTTAACTTGTTATCATTAAATCGAGATCGAAGTGCATCTTTCTCCAAAACTCTACTGATTTGAGAACTAGTTAGGTACATGAGATCTATAAAAATTACAAACCTTTCAATAAATTTAGAGACTTTGAGCCAACACAGGATCAAAACAATTTGGAAATCTTCAAAAGTCTTAGACTTGTGACCTTGAAGAATTCAAAGATGATTCTGGTGGAAATGGAGGCTTATCTGAAATTTAAGTCTCTTGGAATCAAGATTCTAGTGACCTTGTTAATTAAAGACCTAAGGCTGAAGCCTCTCAAAGTCGCCAAAAAACTTGAAAATATCAGGGATACTTAATACAAATACAAGCTCTGAAGAATTCCCAATAGTTGAAATTGAAGATTGTGCTAATAATAGTTTTAAAGCCAATAAAAATTCAGGAAGTCATGGATTCTCTGGACTTCAGGCTTTCGAAGATATTCTACAAATCTGACAAAGACCTTTAACTCATGATTTGAGGCTTACAGATCTCGAAGAATCCTAAGGCTTTTCACCTGAAGACTAAAGACTCAAAATTCCAAGCACTCAATACTGAAAACTGAGGACTATGGAAATTCTAGACGCTCCGGAGACTAATTTAAATGAACTCTGAAAATGAAGAACTAGGCTCCAAATACACTAGCTAACTTATCAAAAAATTAGAGTATGGTTTAAAAGATTTTTCATTATTACTGAATAAATACTTACTTGAAATTAAGTTCAAAGTAAAATGATTTGTTTTCTAGAAGAGTTATGGCAGTATTTTGTTCCCAATATTAACATAGCACAATCATTTTCAGAAACCTTAAGGAAATACCCTACCAGTCATTTTAAGAAAAAATGTGAAACCATACAAATTTAAAGATGCCAACTTCACAATAGAAGCAGGCACAAGCATCGTTATCCCTGTTCTGGCTCTAGGAAGAGATCCAGATTATTTCCCAAACCCCGACCAGTTTGATCGTGAACGATTTAACGCTGAAAACAAACCGAATATAAATCCGTATGCATATTTACCTTTTGGCGAAGGACCTAGAAATTACTGATTAATTGATAATATTTTTTAGCTAAACGGTTTGGTTTGATGCAAACCGCTATTGGCCTTATCCAAGTTTTGAAAGACTACAAAGTCAGCATCAGTCCGAAAACGAAAATGCCTTTAACCTTAAAAAAAGGTGTGTTTTTGGTGCAAATAAATGAAACTTTGTACTTGAGAATTACCAAAGCTTAATCATTAAATTTTTAACTCGCAAAATCAGGGTCGAATGATATGTATTTACCCTATTCTCAATGAATCATCATCATAACAAAAACTATTGGTAAACATCCCAAGAATGAGGCGGGTATGACCTAGGCAGGTAGATAATTCTTTATATCTCTAGCCCGACTATTTTTATTCTATTCTAACATTATTCACAAACTAGAGTATAATATACAAAATAGTAGAGATTATTCTAACTCAAATAGTCCTTCTTTCACAATCGGCCATCCTACCAACATGGGTGTCCTCATTCATGAAAGCTTTACTTGGGAAAAGTTACTACAACTGTAAATTACAGTACATACTTGAAACAAAAAAGTTTGTTTGTTGACTACTAGCTATTTACAACAAGAGGCTACAACCTCGGTAATACAGGCTTCAACCTGTCACCTCATGCGGGCTACAACCCTTCAACAGTCGACGCTACAACCGGACACTTTACCTGGGCTACAACCCTTCAGCAGTCGAGGCTACAACCTGACTCTTCACCTGGGCTACAACCCTTTTTAGACTCGAGGCTACAACCTGACTCTTCATCCGGGCTACAACCCTTCAACAGTCGAGGCTACAACCTGACTTTACTCATCTGGCCTAACGACTGCAATTCAGGACTTCAACTTGTCCACTGCAATTACGGTATTCACTCGTCTTTTTCCTTCTCTGAGGTCTTCTACTTCGTATCGATCGTTCATCAATACTCTGGAAATCTTGAAAGGTCCTTTGTATTTGGGTAACAACTTCCTACTTGTTCCCACACTTGCTTCACTAGTTATCAATATTAATACTAACTCCCCTTCCAGGCATTGCTTAGTTTCTCTTCTACTTCGATCATATCTTTCCTTTTGTTTCCTCTAATCCTCTTTGATGTGCTGTTGAATTTGTGACCTCAAATCCTTTACATTTATTCTATCAACTTCTTCTCGAATACTGTTTAACAATGTTGCCTCAGCAGTGGTGACTGGTTGATATCCGAGTAGAACTTTAGCTGGAGTAATGGAAATTCCCTTATTGAACGAAGTATTCAGGGCACTTTGAATTTTTTTTTATATTGATATCCCAAAATCTAGAATCATCTTCTGCACTTGTCGTGGCCAATATGGTTTTGTTGTACCTTTCACACTGCCCATTAGCCCTCGGAGTTGCCACTGCATTAACAACGTGTCTAACATAGTATGATTCACAAAACTGGCGAAATTCCCTTGATGTGAAGGAAGTGCTTCGGTCTCTTATGATGCGAGCAGGAACTCCAAATAGACACATGACATTTTCCAATATCTTCACTACCGATTTAGTTTTAGTCGACTTAACTGGTTCAATTATGGCAAATTTTGTTGACGCATCTACTATCACAAAAAGTAATTTGTTTTTGGCCAAGCTAGTCTCAAAAGGTCCTACATGGTCAATATAGATAGTGTGAAAAGGTATAGCAGATTTTTCAATTGGGTGTAGCTTTCCTACCTTTTTGAGTGTTGTGTCCTTATAATAAGCACAGTTCAGACAAGAATTAACATACTTCGTTACAAAACGTTTCATTCCTGCAAACCAATAATTAATTTTTATCCTTCTAATTGTTTGTTCGTAGCACAATATGCATATTTGCCATCGAACTGCCTTTGGTACCACCCATAGATTTTTGTCATCGGATATTTTTCGATATATCTTATTATTTTTTATTTCGTATTCGGAAAAATATTGCTTGTTCTGAGCACTCCTGTCATTTTCTTGTAATATTTTTCTTATGCGTAGCAATTGTTCGTCTTGCATTTGAGCACTCAAAACCCTCTGTAACATCCACGCCACAGACATCGACTTGAAGGCTACCTTCAGGGTACCGACTAAGCGCATCAACGTGGTGCATCCCCGTTCCTGGTCGATATTTTATCTCAAATTTGAAGTCTTGAACTTCTAACCACCACCTGGCCACCCGTGGAATTAAATCTTTTTTTGAAAACGTTGTTCGAAGAGAGCTGCGATCTGTGAAAACGGTAAACTTATCCATACCTAAAAGGTATGTCCTGAAGTGCCTTAGGGCGAAAACTACAGCCATAGTTTCCAATTCATAAGAATGGTACAATCGTTGTTCTGTTGTTGTCTGTTTGCTGTAGTATGCCACTACGTGCGAATTATTATCCTTCACTTGAATTAGAATAGCACCAAATACGTCCGAGCTTGCATCGATGTGTAGTTCAGTTGGCAATGACGAATCAAAAATGGCTAGAACCGGCCTTGTGACAAGTATGTTTATTATTTTATCAAAAGCTGTTTGTTGTTCATAATTTCACTGCCAGGGTACAGTTTTGCGAGTCAACTTTGTTATTGGTTCTGCAATTCTCGAGAAATCCTTACAAAATTTTCTAAAGTATCCTGCCAAGCCAAGAAATTGCCGTACTTGCTTTACTGTATTCGGGTGATTCAGTTTCAGTACAGCATTTATTTTGACTTGTCCTGGCCGAACTCCTTCTGCAGATATTTCCCGACCAAGATAAGTTATTTGTTCCTGAAAAAAGGAGCATTTTTCTAAATTTAAAGTGAGGTTGTGCTTTCTAAATACATCAAGTACTAAACGTAAGCTTATGAGGCCTTCTTCTATGGATTTGGAAGGAATGATAACATCATCGATATAGGGAAATGCAATGGTATTCTTCAATTGGCCCAGTGTATTATTCATCAGCCTCTAGAATACCGCAGGGGAATTGGTCAAGCCAAATGGCATTCTAAGAAATTCGTAGTAGGAATCTGGAGTAACAAACGCAGTTTTTTGAATAGAGGTTTCATCTATTGGAACTTGATAGAAACCTGAAGCCAGATCTAAAGCTGAAAAATATGAATTACCTCCCAAACGATCAGTTTGGTCCTCAATCAATGGTAGTGGGAATTTGTCCTTAACCGTAATCGCATTTAATCGGCGATAATCCACGCACATCCTATATCTATCTACCTGTTTTCTTCTTAGCCAGTATGACAGGGCTAGCTTATGGACAGGTGGATTCTCTAATAATGCCGTTTTCCAACAATTCTTCCAGAATTATTCGCAAAGTATTTCTTTCATCCAGAGATAATCGATATGGATGATATACTATAGGTTCATCATTGACAGTTTTACTGACCATCGACGTGGCATTTGTTTTTCCTAAATTTTTCATGGAAGTTGCGATACAGTCATTGAATTCGTATAATAAACTACGTAGCTTTTGGTAATACTCCTGAGGTATATTTGCAGCTATGGTACTGAGTTCACATTGTCATGCAATTTCACAGTCTGTAGTTTTATTTTCATCAAAGCCTGGTAGTTGTCGAATAAACACTTGTGTTCCAACTTTATACATTAGAATATTGGGCAAGTTGAGAAAATTGCGTCCTATAATACAATCAAAGATCATTTCTTCATCTTCCATTACCACTGCTTGTAATTTTTCGTTTGCTTCGCCAATCTTTACTTTTATAGTCACGATCCGTGTTGCTGCAATAATATTCCGGCGATACCATCTTGGCTGGCATCTGTGTGAACCTCAGTTGGCAAATTTGGATCATAAATTGCAAGAATGGGACGTTCGATTAGCTTTTGCTTCAGGTCCTCAAATGCTCTATTTTCAGAATCTCCCCATTTCCAAGTGATATTTTTTCTCGTGAGCGATGTTAAAGGTCTGACAAGTGTGGAATAGTATTTCACAAATTTTCTGAAATAGCCGGTTAATCCCAAAAACTGACGAACTTGCTTGACTGTCTTTGGTGTTGGAAACTATCGGGTGGCTTCAATTTTGGCAGAACCAGCTCTGGGACTCTGTGCTCTATAGAATTCTACAGCTTGCTTTCCATAGTAGATATCTATTTTCAAAAGCGATAGTCGGCTGAAACGGCACTCTGTGTCACTATCGACAACAGTCCGGCTACGTTCTCGGATCCTTTTATCATGCTACTAACCATTCGAAAAACGTAGTAAAAATCTAGGGAAAACTCTAGGGAATTTTTATTTGATTCCTAAGAAATGTCAATATTAGTTATTGAATTGAATGTATATGTCATTAATAAGTTTGTTTTTGTTATTATTTGGTTTGCTTGTTTATACCATAACTATTTTTGCTTCTTGAAAGTTGAGTTTAAGTTCAAAAATTATGCTTTGTTGCCCATTAATAATTTAAATAACAATATTGTTGAAGAAGATGAGAAACTTGAATATATTTGTCTGGAAAATATCCAGTGATGAGTAATGCTCAACAACAGTGACTGTTTTCAAAAAGAAGATGTTAGATTTGAAGAAATAATCGGGCAAAGCTATAATATTTATGTGGCTACAAACTATGTCACGAGCAGAGCAATAGAGAAAGTATAAATAGCCATCAGGGTTCAGTTTCCTGTGACTCAAGACGAGAAAAATCTAATTGAAGCAGGATTTATGGAAAAAAATAATTTTCCAGGTGTGATTACTATCACACGGCCGATGGAACCCACAGTGAGTGAAATTATTAGACCACATGACGAAGAATCCTGGCTAATGACACCTAGAGAAAATACTGCTCCAGGAACTCCAGAGTTCAATTATAGCCAAAATCACATCCAAACTCGAAATTGTATCGGTGTGTTTAAACAAAGATTTGTATTTACTTCAAAAGTGTTGAGGCATGCTCCAGAAAAAGTTGGGCGCTTTGTTATTGTCTGTGGTATTTTACATAATTGCTCGGAAGGGAGACTGAATGGTCCCCGAACCTCATATCCGAAGGGATAACATTCAGGTACCGAGGTACCATATAATGTAACATTCTGCAAGCAGGAGTCCAAGCAAGAAACAATTTGATTCCTCGTCATTTTATGCACTGATTTTCTAAAATGTTACTATAAAGATTTTAACCATAATAATATGTGTTTTATTCCGGGTTTTTCGCTTCTCACTCTCATGACAATGACGATAATATTAATATTATTAATATAATCGGAAACCGACGTCTGCTCGAAATAAACTAATGAAAATATTG